ATATTACCTAGTTAAATAAAATATACTTCTTTCATTATAAGGTCAAATGGAACTGGTGAAAAAAAACGAAAGAGTATCATAAATAACAGTAATAATAATGATAATAAATACCATGATGTTTTTGTATGGCCATTGTTATTATTTCATGATTGTATGCACTGATTTACTTTTGGCAATGTTATAATGCTGAAAAATAAACATAATACAAAGCAGACAATATTTGGAATGAGAGTGTGTGCAGTGAATTGGCTTCGAGATAATTCTTTATGATTCGTATATCAATGGCCCTGATAACCGTTATCAGTCAGTCAACTATAAAGTAAGACCAGACACATATGTGCATCGATTCAAGTTGCCACACATCATTAGCACAACAAGGTGAACAACAAATTCATAGAAGTAGTTAATTCAATGGTAATAATATCTAAAAGAAAGATTGTGTATAAGGAATACAGTACAGGAAGAAAAAATTAGTTCTTAGAAAGGTGATTTTAATCTCACGGTGTAAGGAAAGATGAAGAGTGTATACACCAATGTCACTGTGGTCGATTCTGAGCCGTGTCACTTAGGCTCCAATCACTGGTTATAATAGTCACACGGACCCCCACCAAGTAGTCTGCGTCTACCGTCATGACTCAGACTAGAATTTAGTGACTTTATGGATTGATGCCACGTTTCGATTTGGCCGCCCTCAACTTTATTCCAACCGTCTCCAACACTAGTCAGCATTGCTCGCCCTATACAGTATACGTGCTCCTTAATTGATAGACAGATATCTCACCTTCACCATAGGTGACATAAGTTAGCAGAAGCTAAATGCGTATTTGAATCTGTGCTGACATTTGGTCAGACACCAACCCATTAGGAATGATCAGACTTCCAAAAGAAGTGAAGTTGTTGACGTGTTCGACTATTTCACTCCCTATCCTTAGTTCAGGTTTTGACGCAGACCAGCCGTGGAGCAACAACATGCCTTTAGAGGGGGAGAAGTGCATCCCAAACATTCTGGCATTGTTACTCAGTGCTACCGAAATAATCTGCATTTTATCAGCGTCTTCAGCAAGTAGGACTATGTCATCTGCGTATTCTAAGTCGATAAGTGGACCTCCTGGTAGGAGATAAATACCTGAAAATTCAGTCGACGAGAAAGTTATTTGCAGCAGTAGGTCCATAATGAAATTAAACAGAAACAGAGATAGTGGACAGCTTTGACGGACACCACTTGAGGTTGCAAAATCAGATGACACTCCGCCATAAGCTCTGACTCGATTAGTAGTGTTCGAGTAAAGAGCCTTCACAAGGTTTATGTACTTCTGAGGTACGCTTATCAGTGACAGACGCTACCATAGAACCTCTTGGTCTACAGGGTCAAATGCTGCTTTCAAGTCAAGAAAAATCATTATTGTCGGACACCGATAAGTTTGCCTGTGTTCTGATCAATAGTGAATATGTGGTTGGTACAATCACGACCAGACCTGAAGCCAGCCTGGTTTTCTCATGCACGATAATTATATAGGCTGGTATTTTAGATCAAATACCAACAGACTGGAAAGAAGGACACCTGATCAAGATACCAAAGAAAGGCGATCTCAACAAATGTGATAACTACAGAGGCATCACTCTTCTCGCAATACCAGGAAAAGTCTTCAACAGGGTGTTGTTAAACACGATGAATAACTCCGTAGATGCTCAACTTCGAGAACAACAGACTGGATTCCGTAAAGATCGGTCATGTACAGACCAAATCGTAACACTACGGATCATTGATAGCATGGACAGGACAACACTATGGAAGCTTCTTCTCCACTACGGCGTGCCTGAGAAGATAGTCAATATCATACGGAATTCCTATGATGGGTCAAACTGCAAAATCATACATGGAGGACAGCTCACAGACTCGTTTGAAGTAAAGACCGGTGTCAGGAAATGTTTCTTACTCTCACACTTTCTCTTTCTCCTGGTGATCGATTGGATTATGAAGATGTCAACATCTGAGGGGAAGCATGGGATACAGTGGACAGCTAGGATGCAACTGGACGATCTAGACTTTACAGATGATCTGGCTCTTCTATCACACACGCAACAATAAATGCAGGAAAAGACGGCCAGTGTAGCAGCAATAGGTTTCAACATACACGAAGGGAAAAGCAAGGTTCTCCAATACAACACAACATGTACCAATCACACCACATTTGACGGAAAAGCTTTGGAAGGTGTAAAAACCGTTACATATCTGGGCAGCATCAATTATGAGCACGGTGGATCTGATACAGATGTGAATGCGCAGGTCGACAAAGCAAGAGCAGCATATTTACAACTGAAGAACATCTGTTACTCAAAACAACTGTCAACCAACACCAAGGTCAGGATTTTCAATACAAATGTCAAGACAGTTCTACTGTATGGGGCGGAAACCTAGAGAACTACAAAAGCCATCGTCCAGAAGATACAAGTGTTTATTAACAGTTGTCTACGCAAAATACTTCGGATCCGTTGGCCAGACACTATCAGCAACAACCTCATATGAAAGAGAACAAACCAGATTCCAGCGGGGGAAAAATCTGGAAGAAGTTCTGGAAGTGGATAGGACACACATTGAGGAGAGCACCCAGCTGCGTCACAAGGCAAGCCCTCACATGGAATCCTCAAGGCCAAAGAATATCTCTGTTTCTTAATTCTATAATTCACATACAGAATATTTGTTTTTGAACCGTTATTATCAAAACTACAACTTAATTAAATGTTAGTTGACAAACAGTGCTTGGAGCTCATCATTATGGATTGGTTTATTCATCGATTCATGTAATGAATAATCTATTGTTATTGACTTTATCTCATTGTTTTATGAGATACACGTGCACATACACAGAATCTTCAAAACATAAGAATATTCAATAAAGTGGTGGTGAGTGGATATATGTTTTGTATCCATTTTACATAATCGCTTGTTTAATTCAACTTCCGAACAAAAACTTACTTTGACGATCAACATGAAATATAAAAGGGAATTTTTTAAAATACACTTCGAGAAAGTCATTTATTGGTCTGTTTTAATAAAATGAAAGTTTTCAGCCATTCAAATTATGTGATTGGATACTGTGTACTAGTTGGCTAAGTTGTTTGTTTGTTTCTTATTCTCGATACCCATGGATTGATTTAGGTTAAATTGTCTTAATCATTTTAATTCTGATTGGCTTGTAGTGACCTACTTTTATCTAGAGAACGCGACTGGTTTAATAAGAACAATTATTATTATAACCAATTGTACCAGTGATTGTTTTACTTGTTTGTTTGACTGTACTAAAGACATTCTTCCTTCCGTTGATTGTGACTTTTCACGCTCTTACGTTTGCTCAGTGATTCCGCTTGTACTCTTTTGGAACGATCTCGGTATTCTTTTGATACCACGAGATCGCCAACAAATATATCTCGCTACAACCTCCAATCGCCTTCTGATATCTGTTACACAACCTTCTTGTAGTGGTGATCATTGTCAACCGCGACTCGATGCCACACTACAGGCTGATTAATGAGAAAGTAGTAAAATAATGGCCTGGTACCACCAAGGATGAATAGGGTCCATTCTCCCTCTCCAAATGCTCTCACATGGCCACGAATATACAACCACTACCAGGGAAGTTCTACTCACTGTCTTCTCGTGGCAGGGGTGTTGTTTACGAAATTGAGGGGACGAAAAGCGAATGTCGGGTGCATTAACAGAGTTGATGGATATGGAGGATCCAAATAGGGGAGTTGGAAAACCCTGATTCAAAACCATTGGTGCACATGGGCTCCAGGATCCTGAAGGAACGAAAGGTGTGTGACCTAGTTGTTGGTCACCGACTACCATGGGACTGGATCATCTAAAGTTGCTTCGCTGCCTTATGGATCAGACCTTTAGGTCGAAGGCTCCGGGTTTGGCTCCTCAAGAAAACATCTGCTTCGGTCTGGGCACCCGGTCAGTATTCCAGCCCTCGCGTAAATCAATAATAACCGCCACTGGCCTCATTGGTATTGTGGCCCATATGTAACTGGTGCCCCCTTGTTTATGTGTTCAGATAAATAAATATAGTGAGATAAATGGGTTAAAGCTACATCAATACTGTAAATTAATAATAAAATAATGTGATTTATAGAAACGATGATCTTACCGTTTGAACAAGTGATAACTTCCCACTATTTTTCCTATTATCTTTGTTTTTCTGCCATCTTTTAATTTTTCTGGTTGACCTTGATTTTTCCGTGAATAAACGACCTAACAAATAAATGTGTAGTCAGATTGTTTGATATGTATTAAGCTAACATATCAAATAGTTCTGATAACCTTCGTCTCCCCGTCGTATTATTTAAATTTATCAAAGGGGAAAAATTTTAATCTATTTTTATAGGTCGGCACTTCATATTACGCAGTTTACAAAGTGATATTTTTTACTTTGAATAAAAGCAATACAACTTTTCCCTTTTATCTGTCATGTTCGGCTTTGAGGTACACATTTTATTTTAAGATTATTGATATTTTCTAGTTGATTGAAGCTAACTATATGAAAATGCAAACCAACAATCGAATGGTTCAACTACTGTTTTTATAACTTACACAATCGTTTAATATCACGTAGATAAAATGATTTTATGGTTTGGAACATTTTTCTTTTTAAAAAGAAAATGACAGGGAAGTTTTATCTTCTTCTATCATAACTAACTAACTATACATAATTTAGACCCTGAATGGTCTGAATATTTGCTCTAAAGACAATTAGTTTAATCACACAAAATATTTCTTCAAACTGTTTTTTTTCGAAAACTAACAACTGGACCTTTTTGAAAAACTGCAACTTTTTTACACATGAACAATTTATAAAGGAAGACAAGATTGATCTATCCGTACATTATATATATATATATATATATATATATATATATATATATATATATATATATATATATATATATATATATATATATATATATATATATATATATATATATATATATTAAGAAAATGGGTACATCACATGTTTACAAATTACTTGTTAAACAAAAGATAACTAATTTTGAAATACCTGACACAATGCACTCACTCATTGTTCATCACAGTAAAATATTTTCATAAGAAAATGATAAAATTTTCAAATAATTATGTAAAAGTTGAGAAGTATTGGAAATAAAAAAAATATCACTAAGATTCTTTTTTACTAAAAATCTCACAACGTTTTGTAATGAATGTATTTCCTAATGTTTGTGTTATATGATTGCAAGTTGAATACTCATGATTATTAGTATTATGATAGGTATGTAGCAGACAACGTGCAGATTTATGACGAACATTATTCAATTGTCTTTTACCGTAATTTTGATTGTAATTACCAGTTGCATTACTGCTACAACTACTGTTACCATTGGTATGGATACTACTGCCGCTGCTTCTGCTCCCGTTATTATTATTGTTATTGCGATTAAATTTATCGTTGTAATAATCTTTAAAGGGTATTTCATATACGTTCGGTACAACTGATCGTACATCATGTTCAAAAAATGAAAATAATGGGAACCATATTCTTAAACGTTCATTATTTGGTTGATGTAATAAATTATTATTAGCAAGGCAATGATAGTATAGAAATAATCTTGATGAAATATATATAGCAATGAATACATCAATAGAATAATGTTCATGACAAGCAAGTATGAAAAATACACCGAAAAGATTCAGAACCCATGTAAATGTATGCAAAAGATAAAATCTTCGTGGTGAATATTCACTAATGAAAAAGTTAAGAAGAGTAAGACATGTTGTATGACCACTAAATAGATAATCACCACAAGTTCGTAATCCTGTAATGTATAAACCACAACCTATCCATATTTCTAATGCACGTTTGAAGCGTTCTGTATAATTTTTTATTATATATGGGCTACATTGATCTGTTAAATGCACTCCAGGGACACTTAGTGAAGTTATCGACATAGTAATTGATCTTAATAAAAATATCGTGCCCATAAGCACAAAAAAACGACGTAAAAGTATCCACCGATATTTATGTAGAAATAAAATAGTCAGCCAAATCATAAACAGTACAATGATAACCACTTCTGCTGCAATAAACCCCCAACTGATATGAGGAAGATTATCTAGAAAAATATCTGGTAACGGAGGATATTTCGATGTAACAGGTAAACGTTCATGGACCGAAACTATAACAAATGCTGTAACAAATGTAGCAAAAATGAAATATAAACAACTGGTTATAAATTTGAAGAAATTTGTATTGTCTTCATCTATTCCGTAATCGTAATCATTTAAAAAAGTACTGTCTGCTATACACTCCACATTATCATTTCCATTTATTCTGGATACATCTTGTTCCATATTATCCAATTTAGGATTATGGCAGCATAGCAGATCAACTACAGAATTCTCACTTGGTAATCTTGGGAAAGTATATTCTCCATAATTATGATTTTCAATTTGGTGACGCCAGAAGCAACATAAATACATGATACGTTTTCTAAGACCAACCTCTTTGATGTCCATTTCACATAAGTCTTTCTCCGTTAACAGACAAAATGACAATCCATCGATTGTGTTCTTAGTGAAAATATCAATGATTGAATCGGAAATGCCATGATTTTTCAGATATTTAGCAACATCAAGACAGTTGGCCTGGATCGATATTATGTCTTCATTTTGATAGTCTAACATCCTTATAAGTCAAAAACAAAACAAAAAAACAAACGCTTAGAAATATCACTTAATGCATATTTGATTAAATTATTACACATAAACCATTAAATTTATAAACGGATTATATGTATAAATGTTTATTCGAAATCAGTGCTATGTAGTTAAACCTAGATTCGAAAAAATTTCTATGAATCATTTCATTAAACCACTAGAATTAGATGAACAGATAATTCATCAGGAGATAAGTTCAGTTATAGGATAACCATAAGGAAAGAAGATAAAAACTCCAATGGAGGACAACTGGAAAGAGATAAAAGAAACACCAACTTCAACGGGTGGAGAAATTCTGGGCCTCAAGAAGCATCACCATAAGAAACGAATCTGTATCGGAACCCTGGACTAAATTCAAGAAAGGAAGAGCAAAAATACAGCAATTAACAACAACAGAGAAAGTGAAGGCAAAAGCTGAATACACAGAAGCAAACGAGCAAGTGAAGAGGAGGACGAGAGCCGGTAAGCAGAAATACCTGGAAGGCCAAGCAACGACAGTGAAAAAACAGCAAGAGAAGGAAATATGAAATAACTATATGAAACAACGAAGAAACTAACAGGGAAATATCAATCAGTCACTAACAACGTAGAACTTCGTACGTACGTACATCAGTTCGAGTTGCCACACCAAATTAGCACAGAGAGGCTGTGGTCGATTCAAATCCCATAGTGCTAGATGTAGTAAAATTATAAGCTATAATCAGAAAAATTAGGGTTTGAAGATGTTATTGAAGGAGTATAATCCAGTGAAATAAATTTGGAAAGAGAAAAATGAAAGGGACATGAAGAATTCAGAAGATTAGAATTTGGGAGAACACAAAGAATGGATGCACCTGCGCCATTGCAAACGATTTTGAGCCATGTCATTCAGGGTCTCTAACCATCGGTTCCTATCATTTCGCGGTCGCGGACGCACAACTTCGAGATCAGCAAGCTGGATTCCGTAAGGATCGGTCGTGCACAGACCAAATTGCGACACCACGGATCATGATCGAACAATCAGTTGAGTGGAACTTTTCAATGTACATCAACTTCATTGATTATGAAAAGGCATTTGACAATGTAGATAGGGGGACCTTGTGGAAACTTCTTCGACACCACAACGGACTACACTAAAAATTCGTGAGTGGAGGACAGCTGACAGACGCATTCCAAGCAAGGACCGGAGTCAGACAAGGCTGCCTACTCTCCTACTTTCTCTTTCTTCCGGTGGTTGACTGGATTATGAAGACTTCGATGTCTGAGTGGAAGCATGAAATAAAATGGACATGTTGGACGCAACTGGATGATCTGGACTTCAAAAATGAACTAGCTCTTCAATCTCATACACACGGGCAAATGCAGGTTAAGACAAACAATGTAGCAGCAGCAGCTGTATCAGTAAGCCTCAACATACACAAAGGAAAAAGCAATATCGTCAAATACAACACGGAGGACAACAACCCAATCACACTTGATGGAGAAGCTCTGGAAGAGGTGGAATCTTCCACGTACCTGGGAAGCATCATTGATGAACAAGGAAGATCTGATGCAGACGTAAAGGCAAGGATTGGCAAAGCAAGAGCTACATCCATACAATTGATAAAAATATGGAACTTAAAACAACTGTCAACTAATACCAAAGTCTTAATCTTCAATATGAACGTCAAGACAGTCCCACTGTACTGAGCTGAAACGTGGATAACTACTGCAACCATAATCAAAAAGGTACAAGTATTTATAAACGATTTTCTACGCAAGATACTCAATATCCATTGACCGGATACCATCAGCAACAGCCTACTGTGGGTGGAGACAAACGAGCTTCCAGATGAAGAGGAAGTTAGGAAGAGACGTTGGAAGTGGATGGGATATAAATTGAGTGAACCACCAAACTGTACCACAAGGCAAGACCTAACTTGGAATCCCGAATGGAAACGGAAAAGAGGAAGGCCAAAGAACATACTACGTCGGGAATTAGAAGCAGACATGAAAAAGATGACTAGGAACTGGAAACTATTGCCCAGGACAGGGTTGCATGAAGAATGTAGTGTTGGCTACCACGTTAAGCAAAGATACCTTGTTTTAGCTTCTGGACAGCTCAAGATTTTAAAATAATAACACTGGGGAAATATTTGATTAGAATATATCGTGTCAATAATTTGCTTATCTTCCCTAGAGTGGCGGCAGACGACACATAATTCTACCGATTTATGCTTGATTTAAAAGTAGGATATTCAGAAAGGGCACAAAATACTATATAGCTAACGGATTTTTGGAACACGGCGACAAAATCTATTCTGTGTTAGTCTGATAATATACTACGTATTTACACTACGTCTGGTTCAAAAACATCGAAAAATGCAGCCAAACGTGGTTACTGGCCAATCTCTTTAAGTTCTGTAGTGAGAACGCTGTTAACTTGTGGATATTTTCGTTCAGGTTTTAAAAAACGTTAAAGTAAAATATGTTGAAGACTCCTGTAGATTTCACATCTAAACAATGGTCAGAAAAACCCATATTAAAGCTCATGAATTGGCGGGTGAACATCTACTTTCTGTGAAGTGCAGAAGTTTTCATACTTTAGAGAGTTAGACTTTTTGTTGCCACATACATTAAGGTACTTTCTTGCACAAATCAATAGCTACAACAGAGTTCATAGTGAGTTTATTGTTACGTGACCACTTCGTCAGCAGAATACAATAATGTTGACTGTTTTTAATAGACAAGTATGAGTACTTTTATGTGTATGAAGGAAGATATCTGCAATCTGAGAAGCTTTCGGCTTATCTATTTCATCTGTTTTGGGTATTAATGTTTTTATACTTTATTATTATTATAAACCAGCACCATTAATACACTCCTGACCATATAACCATGAACAATCAAATTAGCCAAATAGGCGTTTATCTGGGGTGTAGGAGTAAAAAAGTGTATTTTCAAAACCATTGGCAATTCATCTGGCTTCGCAAGAAATTAAACGATTATCTCAGTCATTTAGATCTTATATTAAGATGATTGTTATTTATTATTTCCAAGGTCATTAATGATTTCTTGAAAACGTGTCTACGAAGTGAAGTAATAAGGGAAAATGCTATATCTTAATGAATTTGGAAAGACGCAAATTTCGTTCATAGTAATTTTTATTTTATTTTGTTTGAACACATAAGTATTGGTACAAGAGGGCATCAAATATATATGCGCCACACAAAACAATGGGAATGGGAAGAGAAAAAAGAAGGTAAGTAGCGTTAAATAAAAAAAGAAGAACAATAACGACCAAATTAGTGTAATGTAATGTAATAATAATAATAAAAATAATAATAATGGGGGAGACGGACAGGTGCAAGCAAAAGAAATCTTTCAGTTTAGTAAGATACAACCACTTTTTATGAAGAAAGTAAAAGAAGGTTACAGCACGATCGCCACAGGCTTCTATTCTGAACTATATCTGACAACGTCTCTAGCCACAGTGTTACACCATCTCTCGGACCCCAATCAGGAAGTCGTGAAGGACCAATAGAAGCCAGCCCTTTGCAGCTTTTTTTCATACCCCAACACTATGTCATACACTGACCACCTCTTCGCCTTTTCCAACCAGTCCCAGCATCCGCAAATAATGCACAATGAGGGATTTTCTGGGACGTTATTCGTAAAACATGTCCAAGCCACCGAAGTCGATGTTTCAAGATGGTGACACAAGTTGAGTTATCGTCTCTGTGCCCGAACATACGATGCCGAACCTCTGGATTACTAACAGGTTGTTGCCACTGGATGTCAGTAATCCTTCGGAGACAGCGATGATCAAACATGGAGAGTCGTCTAACATTCTCAAATCGGAGAGACCAGGTTTCACAAGCATAGAGCAGAACTGCTCTCACCGATGTGTTGTAGATCTGACCTTTTGCAGCCAGACTAACATCCCGAAGGAGCGAAAGATGGTCCAGATCGGCATAAACCGCTCGCTTTCATTGATCTCATCATTCACGCCACCACCAGCACTTATGCAGCTACCTAGATACACGAACTTCTCGACTACTTCTATCTGCTCACCATTCAGGGTGAGTACAGGATTAGAATCTTGCCAGTCTTGTAGAAATACTTTGCACTTCGAAAATGCAAAGCACATACCGTACCTACGGACATTATCTATCATAGTAATGGAATTATATAATGATTTTAATTTGCTCTATTTACCGATAAGCGTAGAAAGATCATATGTATTTATTAGTTCTACATTTTTATATTCCCATTGCCTCTTTTACGTCTTTCTATTAAATTATCATCTACAGACTTACATTATTTTACACCCGATTCTTTGTAACAAGAACCTAGTTATGATCTAGACGCAAACCGATGAACAGTAAAAATTGAGATGTTTCACTCTTCTCGCACAAGTTGAGTTTACATATCGACAACCCCGACTTAGATGATAATAATAATTCGTTTTCTGAAAATCAGTACTGATATCAAATTACGGAGTAAACGACCGTAGGAAGATGGAAACGGATTTGACAAACGTATTATTAATGTTCAATTTTTATAACTGAAATATGGTTGCACATTAATGAAAGATTTATAGAATACATATCACTTTATCCAAAATGACAATTACAAACTATAAAAATATAGAAAACCCTATCAACTTGGCTACAATTGAACAAATTACTGGCAAAATATTATGAGTCATCATTCGGCGAGACAAAGTAGGACATTAAGAAAATCACAGTGGTTTTGTTCTCGATATTTTTCTTAAATTTTAGACAAATGTATGGAGACATACATGATTTACCTTCTTTACACGACCTTTTGAGTCTTCAATACTATACCGTGAGTTGTCTAGTGAATACACTAGTGGATCGATAAATTAAACAATCTAGATTCTTTTGAAGCTTGTCTTTGGTATTTCGCTTATCCTACCCAGTCAACGACTAAAACTCTTTATCAAAACACCTAGTATAGATTTATAAGTGAAATCTTTCAAGAAAAAAACTAAGTCTTTACAGGAACGGTTACATTAAAAATAAACTCAGTACAGCTTACGTGTAGTGTTTATTTCAGAAGACCAAATTATACGGGTTCGCTGACTTGTTGGGCATAATCTCCAACCTACGTTACTAGTTTTAACTTCCAATTCCTTAGAAATAAATATTGAGAATAAGAGGGAAACAGGTAAAATGCTCTACTTTCTGTGTACAAAACGGAAATTTGCGTCAAACACTTATGCAGCTGAAACAAGGAATCTCAAAGACGTGTAAAGGCGTTGTATATACAACCATGGAGGAAACATACAGGTTGAGCAGCACAACTTTAGTAACTTCATGTCAAAATAATTTGCTATTTTTGGTTAGTCAGAAAATGATGAGCATCAGAAAACTACTAATTAATTTGAGTAAAAAACACAAATTCAGGTCAATATACCATTAAAAATAATTATTCACTAGACAAAAATTTATTCTGCGACTTATGTTGTAGGGATCATTAAAGTTATCGAGTCCTAAAGGTTTGAACGTGTATGCAAGAACACTGACAAAACGATATAGTTTCACCAATATTAATCAAAATCTTCTGCTCGATACTATGCAGATGAAGACTTTTAGCAAATAAAAATAAGTAGTTTTTGGAATTTTTCAATTTTTGACCATTGTATTTAGACTGTGTTGTAATTTTAATATAAATACAAGGTTGTTTATTATAAACGGATATGGCTTTTTCAAGCCACATAATTAAATATTTTAAGGCAGTTACCGGACACTACGAAAATTCATCCACAGAATGAAATCATGACACCAGTTATCAACACTCACGAGAACAAATTGACTGTAAAGTCTTATATTCAAAAACTGACAATTTTGTTGGCACCATTTGAATATTCACGATTCAACAACTGCATTGACTGTAACTGATGAGGAAGTTACTTAGTTTCTTTCAGAAGCTCCTGTTTAAACGAAGTCAAACTAAAAGTTAACTATATTTGTTGAATTTTTATTCATAATTTTCGATCTCTAAAATGACCAGAAATCGAAAAAGCGTAAAATGTTGTGAATGACCAAAATTACATAGAATCTCATTTCTGTTTGATTATCTTTTAACGGTGCTGTTGAAGAAAACGTAGAAGATGATGCAAAGAGAAAGTGAGGCGATCATTAATGAAGAAATAATAGAAAAGAGAGTAGTTTTAAACTATTGGGTTAGCAATGTTTAAGAAGATTGATGCCTTGGAAATTGTTCAGGGAAGTTATACGAGACAAGGCGTCTGAAACTTCATTGTTTTCTCCAGAAATGTGTTGAATGTTTGAAGTAAACTGCGAAATGTAGTCTAGTTATCGAGACTCACTATGAAGATGGGCTTAACGAGGAGTTAAGATGTTTATGGTTAACGAAAAGAGTGAATTTTCGGCCTTGAAAGTGCCGTACAGCACAATGTATAGCTAGGAGTTCCCTATTGAAAGTGCTTTATCTTGATATAGTGTCTAGCAACCGTCTCGAGAAGAATGCCAAAGGTCGCTAGGTGTGGTTAACCAATTGTTGTAAGACTCCTTCGATTGCCGAGTCGGATGCGTCTACTGCGATACTAGTAGGTGCTTGAGTGTCCTAATGTGCAAGCAGTGTTGCTTTAGCGATAAGTTCCTTGACTGTGGAGAATGCTTACCGTGCGGTATCCTCCAAATTTATTGATTTTGCATTTTCACGAAGGTGGTTGGTGAGAAGTTTCAGAAAGAACGCGCAGTTTGGCATGAATCGTCCACAGAAACTTATTAGGCCGTTAAATGTTCGTAGTTGCTTAATTGTGGTCGGTTCTGGGCAATCCAGAATAGCCACACCTTACTTCTAGAGATCGGAGTATCAATAGTATGTTCATGAAAATTAAGGGATTCTGGTTTAAACATTTCTGAGTGTTGACAGTAATGCCTTGGTTTTGCGGTCGTACGAAAACAAGATTCAGATTCTGGAGGTAAAATCCCCTGCTCGAACTTGCAATCAAGCAGTCATCAACATACGCATGTTCGAAGGTGAGACCTCGAAAAACGTCATTATGAACCTTTGAAATGTTTGGGCAGCACTTCTCAATTTGGAAGGCATGGGCAAAAATTCATAGAGTTCAAAGGGAGTTATGATGGCGTTTATCGGAATATCGTCAGTAGCCATAGAGATTTCATTATACGCTTTAACCAAATGGATTTTCGAAAAGACAGTTGTACCTTTCAAGGTAGTTGTCAAATCGTGAATGTGAGGCGACGGGTAACGATCGGGAATGGTTCTTGCATCCAGTTGACGATAGTCACTAGTTGGACACCAACCGTTGTTGTCCTTTTTAGGAACCTTGTGCGACGGAGATGCCCATGGGCTGTTTGACGGCCGAATGATTCCTAAATCTATCATGTGATCAGGTTCGTTCTTAGCCGATCTCAGTTTTCGGGAGCCATTCGGCATACTTATCGAGTATTCGTTGGTAGTATGAATTTACCGTGTGTTTTACTGTGATTGGGGATAATCTCCCCTAGTTTCGTTGAGGTAGCGAACTTTAATTATCACATCAATGGTGTATAACAGACGACTTTGGTCCTCGAGTACGGTTAACGCGTACCGCCAGGTAAGTTTGCTGAAATTTTTTTTTTGTCGGTTGGTTGCTCACGAAATAGCAGGGTTTTGTGCAATTTTGAGATTTGCTGTACTGACTATGACACCGGCACCAGTATGGGTTATCTGCCTCTCGTGATCTAGTGACATAACGTTTTCGTGAAGTATTCGTTCTAGGAGATTGGGCGCGTCTATAATCATGACGAATACTAAGGTAACGTGTCAGAGTACGACAGAGTTCTTTAATGTCATTTCGTGTCGTTTGAAGTTTTACTTTTACTAAAAAACCTCGGCGTTTAAAATTCTAGTGGTCTCAAGAACTCGGTCGACAGATGCCGCCAGCTCGTCTACGGAGTTATTTTCAAATGAGGCAGCACTCCCTGAACCTGTTGAGGAAGCTTAGACAAGATAAGCAGGCCCTTGACCAACGTCCTTTCTTAATCGTTAATAAATGTCTGATGATGAGCTGTGTTGTAGAGGAGCGGATCTAACCTATGTCGATCGGTTAGATTTCCGCGTCTAAGAGTAGACCATTAAAAGACAATATCAATTCACGCTAGTTCTTTAAATGCATATGAAATCATAGAATTATCAAATCCGTATATTATATTTTCACACAGAATTTTATCGATGGTATTTCGTTTTGTCTTCTCGAAAAACGTTTAGACGAATAGGGTATTACGCAGATTGTGTCACACTAGCGTATATTGTTTCTGTCATCTATTTGGAAATATTAAATTAAACAGCAAAGCTAAAAAGAGTAAACTCTTACACTTATCACAGGAAATAACCATGCAATTGAACTTATGAATAATAAAACATTTGGTGAATCACATTTTTCGAAATTAATGGATAATGGCAATTCCGAATACTTTGCTGAAAGTTCCATTTTAAAAGATATCGGTTACGAAGTGTTTGAAGGAATATCAAAATCTTGGAAACAAAGAACTACGGTCTACTTCGATATCAGTACCGCTCTCATAATAGAACTAACCCTAAAATTGCAGATTTGTCATTATTGAACTGCCTAATCTATTAGATCTTACGTGGAAGTCATACAATTGACTACACTAACGCATCACACTGTAATAAGCACCAGTATAAGACGAGGAATAAAATTGGGCTAGAGATAGAACAATGTATTTGACGTGAATAAAAGACATTTACATAAGTAGGACAACGCTTGCAAAATGTCTAACCATTTAAAGTATGAAAACTTCTGCACTTCACAGAAAGTAGATGTTCACCCGCCAATTCATGAGCTTTAATATGGGTTTTTCTGACCATTGTTTAGATGTGAAATCTACAGGAGTCTTCAACATATTTTACTTTAACGTTTTTTAAAACCTGAACGAAAATATCCACAAGTTAACAGTGTTCTCACTACAGAACTTAAAGAGATTGGCCAGTAACTACGTTTAGCTGCTTTTTTCGATGTTTTTGAACCAGACGTAGTGTAAATACGTAGTATATTATCAGACTAACACAGAATAGATTTTGTCGCCGTGTTCCAAAAATCCGTTAGCTATATAATATTTTGTGCCCTTTCTGAATATCCTACTTTTAAATCAAGCATAAATCGGCAGAATTATGTGTCGTCTGCTGCCACTCTAGGGAAAATAAGCAAATTATTGACACGATATATTCTAATCAGATATTTCCCAAGTGTTATTATTTTAAAATCTTGAGCTGTCCAGAAGCTAGAACTAGGTATCCTGGCTTAACGTGGTAGCCAACACTACATTCTTCATGCAACCCTGTCCTGGGCAATAGTTTCCAGTTCCTAGTCATCTTTTTCATGTCTGCTTCTAATTCCCGACGTAGTATGTTCTTTGGCCTTCCTCTTTTCCGTTTCCATTCGGGATTCCAAGTTAGGGCTTGCCTCGTGGTACAGTTTGGTGGTTCACTCAATTTATATCCCATCCACTTCCAACGTCTCTTCCTAACTTCCTCTTCATCTGGAAGCTCGTTTGTCTCCACCCACAGTAGGCTGTTGCTGATGGTATCCGGTCAATGGATAATGAGTATCTTGCGTAGAAAATCGTTTATAAATACTTGTACCTTTTTGATTATGATTGCAGTAGTTATCCACGTTTCAGCTCAGTACAGTGGGACTGTCTTGACGTTCATATTGAAGATTTTGACTTTGATATTAGTTGACAGTTGTTTTAAGTTCCATATTTTTATCAATTGTATGGATGTAGCTCTCGCTTTGCCGATCCTTGCCTTTGTGGTGGACCAAACAGATATGAACGCAAAAAGTATAAACAAAGTTATTAAAAATCAATAGTTATATTAATATATACACATAATTGTTACAAATACACTAAAAAATTAGGGACGTTACTTAAATTGATCAAACGTTGCGTGTTATGATCAGGTCCAGTAATATAAATCCACAATTATAAATTTTTGCTGATTCTGAGCATGTTGGCGAACTCTCTAGTAATATAGTCCAACGTGAGATGTGATATATTCCGATTAAAGTCTATAAATGTAGATAGTATTTGATTAAGACTTCAGTTAGCTCAATCACAAATGAAAATAGAACGAGGAATGTGCGAGAAGCAGTGTATTTGTTAGCCGGCAGCGGTATGTCACGCTATGTAGTAGTACAACAGAAAGTGTGTTCAAGGTCATTTACTAAAACAACAGTTACAGTCATTTAATGTTAAATATACATACAGTTGAAGGTTGACAAAATAAATACAAATAACATTGAAAACTATTTACAAAATAAGCTTGTCGGGTCTGTCTCCACGACTTTACGTCTGCATCAGATCTTCCTTGTTCATCAATGATGCTTCCCAGGTACGTGGAAGATTCCACCTCTTCCAGAGCTTCTCCATCAAGTGTGATTGGGTTGTTGTCCTCCGTGTTGTATTTGACGATATTGCTTTTTCCTTTGTGTATGTTGAGGCTTACTGATACAGCTGCTGCTGCTACATTGTTTGTCTTAACCTGCATTTGCCCGTGTGTATGAGATTGAAGAGCTAGTTCATTTTTGAAGTCCAGATCATCCAGTTGCGTCCAACATGTCCATTTTATTTCATGCTTCCACTCAGACATCAAAGTCTTCATAATCCAGTCAACCACCGGAAGAAAGAGAAAGTAGGAGAGTAGGCAGCCTTGTCTGACTCCGGTCCTTGCTTGGAATGCGTCTGTCAGCTGTCCTCTACGCACGAATTTTTAGTGTAGTCCGTTGTGGTGTCGAAGAAGTTTCCACAAAGTCCTCCTATCTACATTGTCAAATGCCTTTTCATAATCAATGAA